AAAAACTGTGTGAGCCCTCGGAGTCATTTGTATACCAGTGGCTAAGGAAGCAGTCCTCTAAGCTGCCTGAGTTCAGGGTAAAAAGAGCACAAACTACCTCAATGTATCCTAGAAAGAATGAACATTTAAAATCCCATCTAGCTCAGTCCCAGAACTGAATAACCATTATCAACCACTCAAAAATTCTTCCCAATGGAAATATTTGCCTGAAGGAATCGTTAACATTAAAATTAATAAACATTTAGGCAATTTGAGATTTTATTGTGAAAATAGCTATTTTGACATTATATCCAGTTCCTCACTGATCAGAATAAATTCTTTACAACATTGATCATCATTACCACTTCTGGGTATTTATACATAGTCTCTGAGTAAAATACATTCACACCAGGCATGACTAGAATATTTAAATTATGACCAACATTGCTTAAGATGTTTACTTTACAACAGAACTATAGTAATTTGTACAGTATGACAGATATTTAAAAATATTTACCAAAGAGAGGCTTCGTGGAACAAAACCAACATGTGTACACATAGATTTCTTATTTATCTTCTTTGCTGTCAATCTTCTACAAAGCTCAAGTTACACTGCAAACACCTCATATTTCCATTTCAAGATGAGTATGGAAAAATGGAAACATGTTATTGCCCATTATACAAACTAAAACATCGAATCAGAAAAATTTCTTATTTATCTTCTTTGCTGTCAATCTTCTACAAAGCTCAAGTTACACTGCAAACACCTCATATTTCCATTTCAAGATGAGTATGGAAAAATGGAAACATGTTATTGCCCATTATACAAACTAAAACATCGAATCAGAAAAGGAATAAAGCTCATCTTTGTACAATTAACATAAAAGCTTGAGTACAGCCTTCCTTCTCCAAGAAAGAGACACAAGCAGTGCAAGAGAAGTAGCCAAGAGTCCAAATGAGGGGCCAGCACACCCTTCTCGACAGTGCATGACTCGCTGACGAATGACGCAAACCCTGGCATTTTTCTTGATTTCCAACAACCTGGGGCACGTAAACTAAATGATTAAAAGGCATTTCTCTGAATGTGCATGAGGAAACCTGAAGAATCAGAACAAAGATCCAACTGCTTTTCACGTGGCTAGATGTTCACCATTACAGCACAACTCAAAACCAAAGTCCAGCTTTCTATCAAATATATAACCACAATATGGAGTTCCAAATATGCAACTGTACACATTTCAGAGAAAAACAGAGCATCCTTATGCTCTATTCAAGATCTGATTTTATACTTTGAAAGGAGATTAAAATTTGGTGCTCTGAAATTTGGAGGTCTAGTGATGTTTAAAGTTTTTAGGCTATAGATAGTGCTGAGGGGACACCTGGGAGGCTCAGTTGGTTAAGCATCCAACTTTGCCTCAGGTCACGATCTCACGGTTTGTGAGTTCGAGCCCTGCGTCAGGCTTTGGGCTGACAGCCTGGACCCTGGAGCCTGCTTTGGATTCTGTGTCTCCCTCTCTCTCTGCCCCTTCCCTGCTTGTGCTCTCTCTCTCAAAAACAAACATTTGAAATTTTTTTTTTATGCTGAGAATTTGCTGAAAACTGAAAACCCTCATCCTAGAAAATGCACACACATATATACAATCCTTGTTTGGAACATGTCTACAGTTCTAGAACAGGGCTTGAAAATAATAAATTTCTTTTGTGTTGTCTCTGACGCAACTGTAAACTTTCTACAACACCATGCATATGTGCATGTGTGCACATGTGTACATATATATGTATAATATCACCAACTTGTATGTGGCATTAGCGCTATCAATCCCATCACTTTTTTTGGCACTTTTCAAGCACAGCTAAAATGGTGTGGAAAATTGTTCTGGAATTCCAAGTTGGTTCCCTCTGTCTCACCAACACGTGGAACGACCAGGTCACACCTCCATGCAGAGGGACTGAGTGAGTGACCAGCGGCCTCACATGTGACTAAATAACCAAACTGTTTAAACCCAGGGCCACTCCTCTCTCAACTTCATGGTCCAAGGGAGTCCTGACCTGTCTTCCCATTTTCTCAGCACCCACTAGAGCAGCTCGTAACAACAGGTAACCTTTGCAATTTGCACAAACAATCAAAAACGCTCCAGGACAGCCTCTCCCTAAGTATACTTCTCAGCATAAAAATCCCACAAGACCTACTTTACACACACACACACACACACACCAAAAACCACATACAATAAATCAGGAAAATAGTGTATAAAATGCAGACCCTTGTTGGAGACTGACTACACAATAGCATTTCAAAGGTTCAGAAAGGCTATAGGAATTTAACGTTGTCTAACCCAGTGTTTCCCAAACTTATTTGACAACAGAACCCTCCGTGGACATAATAATGATATAATCTGGCCAAACACATCTACTTCTCCAAGAAACTAAAAGATGTTTTTTAAAAATCTTACAGCATAATTTCAAATGATTAATAATCAGGATACAAAAGACTTTTTTTCTATAAATTAAAAAAAAAATTTTAATGTTCTTTTTATTTCTGAGAGAGAAAGACAGCGTGAGCAGGGAAGGGGCAGAGAGAGACACACACACAGAATTTGAAGCAGGCTCCAGGCTCTGAGCTGTCAGCACAGAGCCCGCCAAGGGGCTCGAACCTACAAACTGTGGGATCACAACCTGAGCCAAAGTTGGACGTTCAACCGACTGAGCCCGCCCCCCCCCCCCCCCCCGCCGGATGCCCCTTCTGTAAATTTTTTAAAGAAATGACTTTGTTTTGCTACGAATGCTCTTCTATCATAACATTCCCCTTCCTATAACATTCCCCTTCCTATACATGTCTGGCTCGAAGTTACCTTTTCTTAGAATACCTCTTCACCTCAATCACAGTGGTTTTTAGTCTAGGGCTGGGAACCTGGGCCCTGAACAAACACTACATCCCAACGAGAGTTCTGGGCTAAAATATTTTGCAAACCCTTAAAACAAAACTTATCCTTCCTCTCAATGTAAATCAGCATTCTGAAGCTCCAATGACACTTCAATTAAACTTCTGAGGATAAAAGGATTAGAAACCTTTAGTTTATGTAATTAATAATGAATTTCTTAATCATCTATTTAAGAAATATGAAAATGCTGAAAAGCACATGTGTATTCCCCAGGGCTGAACAAGAAAAAAAGGCAAAAGATAATTCTTAATGCCAACAACATATACAAAAGGCGACAATCATAACCGAAATTATACTTAGTGGCTCTGCTCAGGATTTCAATTATATAAATAACCAAACCAAGATAAAGTCAATTACTAAATCCCTATGAGCTTAGAACAAAACACAGACTGCACTTTCTTCATTAAAGCCTGATCCTAGTGTTATCTTGTCACACTGTGCAATTAGAGATAACACAGCAAAACAAAGGACTACCGCATGAAGACACAGAACAACTTTTTTCAACGTATTTTTCCATAAAAGTAAACCCAGGTACCAGAGGAAGAAAATGATACTATTACAAATATACAAATCATTGCATATTTTATAGAGAAAAGGAGTTCTTCGTTTTAGGTTATTGTTTTTTCTTTTCTGGTAAGGCAAAACAGATCTGTAGATAACCATTCATTACAAACCTGAGTTGTTTCTTTCTTTAAAATTAAGAAGGAAATAAATTATATTTAATCTACATTATGTATTTGTCTGAAACTGAATACTAAATACTGTGCTTGGATCATTAACACTTTTGACAGCTTATGAAAAACTGTCAAAAAAATCTAATAGGCCTGATGAGTGTATATTCTTGCAAGAGGCTCTACAAAAACATACTGCTGACTTCAAATACCACTTTTATCACATGAAGGTACCTTAAAAAATTGGTTTTCTGAGATTCTGTCACTGTTACCCATCTCTGCCTCTTTTGATGTCTAGTGATTTTCTACTTTTGCAGCTTCTGAATACTCTAATGTAGCTGTTATTGAAGTAAGTTCCCTTATTCCTTCATGTTAATATATCTAGCAATACTAAATGAATAGAAATTACAAATGGAAATCAAAATGTTTGGATTTATTGTAAAAATCTTGAACTTTATAGTACCCCCCAAATAATGCAAACAGCCTAAGCTGGAATTTGTCACTGCCAATCCCTGTAGGGGAAAAAACCACTGTGAAGGAATGACAACCCTCATTGCCCTCTACAGGGTTAACTTTAGTGTTATAAGAAATGGTGGGTCTTATGGATGACTGATGACAATTTGTTGATGTGGGATCTTTATCTTATAGGAATTATCTGACCAATTTGCTAATACTGTACTAGCAACAAATATAAACACAAATATAGTCCCTTTTATCACATTCCACCATCACATCCAAAAGAAAAGTAGCTCACAGTATTCTGTTCAAGACCATAGACCATCTACCTCAGCAAACTCAAACTTTGTCCAAAGCATATCCTGCCAGGCTGATCACAAGTTCTCTGCCCAATCTGTAAAGCTGTTCCTTTCTAAGAGCTTCCTATATGTGTGGCTGATCTCTGGAGCAGTTTATACTCAGTTATAGCTTCCTAGCATCTTGTTGGCCGATCCCAAAAATGCTCGACAAAGTAGCCCAATATATACATTCTCACTTACCTAAATACAATTTGCATCTTAGGAAAGGTAGTCTGGAAACATCATAGGCTACCTGGTGCAAGGCTAAAGGCAATTCAAAGCAGGATGACCAAAAGGAAATAAATCATATTTACAGTTGTCTTTTCTATTCAAAAATGACAAATACTTGTCATTCTAAAATGATGTGTTTTCATTCAACATTCAACACATGCAACATTACAGTATGATTACTGGCTGAATTCTGTGTCGAAAGAACATGATCTCACATTCTTAAAAACATTTAAACACATTTTCTTACCATGGGCATTAGTAGTTTTACTGACAGAAAACTTTTACATAACCCACTATTACTTTGGACTGTGCCCATGGAGAAACTTGGGAGTTAAATTTACGATCCGACTTTAGAATCTGTTAGGGTTGTATAGCTCTAAAGAAAAAAAAAAACTTTATTTTTCCAAAAGCTAATTTTAACTGTCCTGTTTTACGTGTGTATGACAATTTTAGGCCACTTCAAATGCTTCTAAGAAGGTTTAACATAAATCATGATTGAAAATGACCAACCCTAACTACAGCATAAATAGAGGTCTGATTAATTTTTTAGCCACCCTTCTCCAATATACATCAATCCCAGAGGACAATAAAGTCCTATGGTCATGATTTTCAATATAAAATATTCATACACATTTTAGAATGCTGGGATCTAATGGAAAACTAATACAAAACACACAAACCTATTATATAAGTAATGTGAAACTCATTACTTTCCCTAAATGCATCCACACTTGATCTTAGCCAAAAGACCGAGAAGATTCCCTACATGCACCCAAACACATGAACGAGATTTTGAAGACTACCTTGTTTCTCACTGAATTAAAACTTTCAAGAAAAAATATTAACAGCGACTTAAAGACTCCTGTGGAAGACCTAATACAGAACAAACTGGGAGGACGCAGATCAAACACAGCTGAGCTCTCCGTTCAGCTCGAATTAGGGGCGTCTCTTGACTACAAAGCTCTTTTCTTAACACGGGAGTTTCCACAGGATGTGATAAGATTTGCTGAGCACCATAGTAATCTTGTAAGACACTAATCAAAAACATGATCCCATATTTTAAAAACCCCAGAAGTGGTTTTAGGACAGCAGGAGCACCTTAGCCACTAAAATAAGCAAGATTCTATTCTAAGTAAAATCACCTGCACATCAAATCCTGCAACAGTTCAGTAACCCATAAGTAGAAAACGTTCTTTAAAAACTACTGTTATTTCTGCATATTCCACGGGATCCTTCAACCGCAGGTAAACTGTATGGAAAATAATAAGTTGCCATAAAGCTTTTGACTACATGATAGGCTTCTTCTGAAAGAACACTGGTCTGAACCAAGCATGGTGAACTTGGACCAGGCACACAGTAGGTACTTCTATTACTCTGGCAGAGGAGGGTCTGACAACTGGGCAAATTTCAGTAAGACTTAACAGCCTGGAGTAATAACGATGACCAACATACTCAGTTCTCCTGAAATCAATCCAAGAAAGAGAATACTAGAGTTAAAAGTGTACTACAAATACACAGGTCTAAAGCTGCCACATCCACCCCATAAACTGAAAGCATCCTTGCTAACCTTATATTGTACACATAGCAAATACCAGAAGTGCAAATAGTCAGATGAATATTCTATGTGACCACCTTTGATATTTATATACATATACATATATATGGTATAATCCCCTAAAAGATTACACTTCTGAGGGCATAACTAAAAAGCACATTCCTCTTTGCTTTTTAAATAGACTTTTCTATTGAAGTAAATAGAATATTGGACTATTACATTTTTCCTAATGTCTAAAATCATCAAATTTCTAAACAGAAGAAAAAAGCCTCAAAGAGCCACATATTAGATATTCAAACTGTTCTAAGAAAACAAAATTAATAAAATAACTTGAATAAATAAGAGTGCACATTCAGAACAGAATTACAGCTTTTGGTCTGCAACATATGAAATAAAGGCAAAAATCTGCCAAGATTAAGGCAGGTTTTTGTTTGTTTGTTTGTTTTTAAATATACAGTTCAATGTATTTTCTTTGTTCCCCAAGTTGATTTAGCATTCACTTTGATGTTAGCTAAAGTGCACTGCCAGGCCAAAATACAAGCTTCCTAATTAAGAAAAAAATAGATGTCATAGACAGTTTCTTTTTGGAGTCTCCCTTATACCTACTAATGGCATTTTCTTTTTGCCTCCACACACTAGTGTAAGAGATTACTGCAACAATCATGACCTTGGACATGATGCATGCAAATGCAGCATGATGACTGTCAGGGTGACAGCCGTTGTAAGGAATTATTTTCTTCTTCTGCTGGAGTCAATTTGAGTGTTGGCAGTTTCCGAGGAGGAAGTTGGGGGCTTTGGCGAAGATTGTCATCCATCTGTGGGAAGTACAAAAAGTACATGTGACTAATGGCTATGGCACCACTTACGTGGACTGTGACCTCCTCATCCAAACTATAGCCTAGAAGAGTACAGAACCATATGGGGCCAGGACTGCTCAAGAAACCTTTTTTCTTACAAATAATCTCTCAGGAATTCTAAATGTCATACATCAAATACCAACTAACTCAGTACATGTATACAAGCAATATCGCTCATCCTTAAGGTCTTCACAGAATTACAGCAAGTCCTCAAAATGAATGTTCCACTGAACTCAACCATATCACAGGGTTTATGGGGTCTTCTAATAGAGTAAGTGGAAAAGCAATACTTCTGATACACTGAGCTCCACCATCTACTAATTATGTCCATGTACAATACCTCACCTGATCTTCCCAACACAATTGGGAAGGAAACATGGAAGACAATCATTCCCTATTTAACAAGATAGCAAAACAAAGCTCCGAAAGGTTAAGAAATTTGCATTAAGTTGCAAAGCTAGTATCGAAAGTTGAAATTACAACACAGGTCTTCTATTCCAACACTTATTCTTTCAACTACACCCTATTGCCTCAGTGAAAATGACCTGTACTCCTTTCAAAAAGACCAACTCTTTTATTAGGCTGCAACTTAGACCACAGGAAGCTAGGAAAAGAGACAGATAGGAGAAACTATTTAGACCTCATCCAGAGGTATTCCAAACACCAGCTCAGTTCTAAGTCTGCTCTAGGAAAAAAAAAATTACTATGGAGCATACTGAGAAAATGTCCAAGAGTTTCAGGATTGCCCTCAGAACGACACTGCATCCCTGTAAACACCAGGAGAGGAATTATTTACAACTGAGAAAGGCCAGTGGGAAGGCATACTGGTGCAACCACTCCTGAAACAGCATGTAGGTTTCTCAAAAAACTGAAAATAGAACTACCCTATGACCCAGCAATTGCCCTGCTAGGTATTTATCCAAAGGATAACAAGAGTGCTGTTTCGAAGGGGCACATGTACCCCAATGTTTATAGCAGCGCTATCAACAAGCCAAATTATGAAAAGGTCCCAAATATCCATCAACTGATAAAATGCTACATATATCTATATATGTGCTACATATATACAATGGAATACTACTCAGCAATCAAAAAGAATGAAATCTTGACATTTCCCGCAACGTGGATGGAACTAGAGTGTATTATGCTAAGCGAAGTAAGTCAGAGAAAGACAAATATGATTTCACTCATGTGTGTAATTTAAGAGACAAAGAAAATAAACATAAGGGAAGAGAAGCAAAAATAATACATATAATCATATATATTATTTATATATAAAAATTTGTACATTTATATATAAATAAAACATGTATGTGTATATATGTACGTGTGTGTGTGTGTGTCTGTGTGTGTGTATATGGCAAGAACAGAGTCATACCTTACAAAGTTACCTTTTATCCAGAGCACCCCACGAACCAAGTCCAGGGTTCAGAGCCAGGTGCTGAGCTCTCTATCAGCTCAACTTCAGAAAAGACTTGAAAGCAGCTTCCACCAAAGATCCCAAACCAACAGCAAACAGCATACCGTTAACCACTTGATAAACAGGCTTTTCTACAGTTTTTAGTATGTGCAGAGCAAAACCCTCCCTTATCTCTACCAGATGCTCTTATAAAGCACAGAGGAAATGTCTCAGCAGAGATACAGGCAGCTTACAGGAAAGGAAAGAGTATAAAAATTAAATTTTAATTTTCCAATGGAAAAAAGTATTCCTAGTGCACTACTTCAATTAATTGGGTTTTGTTGTTGTTGTTTTATAAGAACTAAGTTCCCCAAACATTACTTTTTTTTTAAGCTCTAGATTTTCTGTGCAAATGGTGAACAGTAGTAGCCAATAGGATTTGTTGCTCTTATGTCTTGTAGCCAACACTGAACATACTGAACAGCAGATAGGAAACAGGGGTGGGAAGGAGAATGCGATTTAAAGTTAGAAATCTTTCATATACTGATGATGACCCAAGATGGAGGCATACAAAGCGGTGACAGGGCCTCTTGGGTTCACCTTCTGCATATGTAGGTATTTCACGGTTCCTTTTACCTATCTGTCATGATAGGAATCTGCCACATACAGAGAAATGAAAACTGTACTGGATAGCCTTCATCCAGCAGTTAAGTGCCTCAAACAATCTGAGTAATCTTCCCATTATCCACCCCTAATACTCAATATCTCTCCTCTCACGGGATTTACTGGGTTGGGCTAATAAGACAAATTTGGCATTCAGTGAGCCCACCTAAACTTTAATACTGGTCTTGTACAATTTTACTGCTTAGTCCTACTCACTTCTCAAGTGCTAACAACACATGAAATACTATAAAAAGAAACAGAAATCTCATTCTAGAGAGTGACAGAGGTTTCTAGCTACTAGTACTACTAGTACCGGATACATAATTTCATTCATTTGCAGCTGACTAACTGTAAAGCCTGTGACAGAATCCAATTTCCAGGGTTCAAATTCCCTCTGTGCCTCTCACCAGCTGAATGACCTTGGGCAGGTGACATACCCTACTCTGAAAGCTTCAGTATCCTTATCTGTAAGACAGGACTGATGGATTAGCTGCATACACAGCTGCTGTGAGGATTCAATGAGATAACTCAAAAGCTCATACAACACAGTGCCTGTTATTCAGACCTCAAAAACTGCTAGCTAGTATTATTAGGCCACATTACCTCATTAGTTAGTGAAAGAATGAAGTATCATTTACTGGTATAAGAAAAAAAGCAAGTTGATCAGACTCTTGGGGGGAAAATGCATTAACTCTCTTGTATTTTTCCAATTAGAATCACCCTTGAAACTCCCCTTACTGGCCCGCTCTCTCTCTACCCACTTCCTCAGTATCTCTCTCTCACCAAATGAACACCACCAAAGTGGCAAAATACTCTGATGAAAAACGGGGCAACATTTAGACAAGAGGATAGAAGGCGAAAAACAGAATAGTTTATGTAGAAGATTCACAAGAAAGGACGAGCACAGGTGCTTATGATCTCAAGAAGTGTTAACCTTGAGAGACAGAAACAGACAAGCAAGAAGTGTGTTTGTTTGTTTTTAAGCCAGGCTTTTGGCTCTCCTAACTTGAAAAATACTAATTATGTGGTAAAAGTAAACCCAACACCACTATCAAAGTAATCGAGCCACTATTGGCTTCGAAACGCTATATTATATATGACTGTAGTAAATGTGTATTTGAGCAGCTTTATGAAAAAATACTCTTTAAAAAAATAAGAGGGTAAAATCAATGCATATTAACTATCTACAATTAAAGTTGTAATATTAATTTCAGAAAGGAAAATACTAAACTATTATAAAATAATGAATGAAGTAAACTTGACCTTTTCAATCAAGTTGGATTCCTTATTTACAAGTTGTGTGAGTTTCTGCAGATTTGCGTCTACTGTTTCTTGTCCAGCAGGAGAGGTGCCTAAGAAGCCAGGACAGAAATCAGAAAGACAGAAAATTCTGAAAGTCTTTAAAGCTGTTTAGACTGAAAAGAATTTTGAGTCAATCCACCCTCCCAAGTACACCGCCCTCCAAAAATAAATAAAATCAAGCAAAGAGAAAAGCCATTATGGGTTCAAAGGCAAAGTTAAGAAGGATAGTAATGCTCCAAAACCAAACCCTAAACAAAAAGACTAAATTTGTCCATGAAGTAGACAGCCAAGTGTTATGCAACTAGCCAAAGTGATTAGTAAAAGAGCACAACAGTCCTCATTTCTTTCTCAAATTTGAGTTGTACCTTCTCCCCACCCATATCAAATAGCCCTTCAGTCACAGCTATCTGGACAGCTTTCTAAGGCAGGGACTCCCAAACAGCTACCAACCAGGCATCCAAAGTATTTGGAGGAACTTAAGAAATACAGATTCCTGGGCTCTACCCCTTTGGGATTCTAATGCAGTATCTCTGGCTTAGGACTCAAGAGTGCATTGGTCCTCCTGCCAGGTTTGGTAATCACTGCTCCAAAGTAACAAGGCTGAAAGTTATTTAGTTTCATGACTCACTCCTCTCTAAAAAACACATACGCCACCATGAAAAATAAACTGTCCCTAAGCCAGCTACCCCTGTAACTGCTCTTTCTTAAAAGGACAATTTCTGCCAACTCTCCCAATACAAATTTAGTGTCCCAATCACTTACACACATGGCCCACATGCCCAAGGTAGCATATCCTAAGTGACAGGTGCCCTCTATTTACAATACCTCCAGTCTGATGCAATCAGTTTTCAAGTAGTGGAATCATGGGAGTGTACCTCACCCAAATCAATCTGCTGCTGATTTCTGTTCACGCAGGAAAATGCTAGAAGCAACATTTAAAATAATTGCCCATTTGCATTAGGATAGATGCTATCTTTCAGCAGGGACTCAATAAATACCTGTAGTTAACTTCTGGAAGACAATGATCCACTTCAAAGGGGCAATATTTAAAGAAGAATGAGAGGCAAGAAATGTATAAAATCTTGAAGAACAGACAAAAGGAAAATATCTATTTCTCTAAAGTAGAACTAACACATGGGAATAAAGTTGGAAAAATAAAACTTTTTCAAGTGCTGTAACTCAGCACTTAAAAGACAATATACAAACTGCTTTAATAAGTCATGAATTTTGCTTATCTGTCCTTAGGAGAATATGCAAATACCTATGCAAACGCAGATTAGCTGAAGAGAAGCCAGCTTACCTTCAAGACTAAGCCTGAAATAACAATTTAGGATGTCATCACAAAAGCGGCACAGGTTGGAGAGCTGTTTCAAATGTTCTTGTAACTGAACTTTAGGAAAGCGTACTTTATAAAGAGGTGCAAGAAAACCAAATACATAGGCATCCAAGGTAGACGGCCTAAAAATAAATTAAGGATTTTTAAAAAACACATAGAAAAATATTAACTTGGGATTATGTTAAAAATATTTTTTCGCAAATACATTTGCCAATTCTGAAGTATACAATAGTCTTTTAGAAGGTTTATGACACGTTAGCATATAAAAATGATGTAATGTGGGGTTTTTTTTCAATTTTTTAAATATTCTAACATTTATTTTACTTAGAAGAAAATTAAGTCATCAATTAAAGATTCATCTTTACTCACAGCTTTATATAAAGATAGGAGACAGGGTGGGGATAGTCTTAGATATTTTAAATTCAGGGTGATGGGCATGGAGGAGGGCACTTTTTGGGATGAGCACTGGGTGTTATATGGAAACCAACTTGACAATAAACTATAAACAAATAAATATTTTTAAAAATTCACATATACAGCATGCTAAGTCAATGTTTGATTACTATGGATAGAGACAAGTTTACTACAGTAATCCATTAAATCTTTTGTTTAATGTAAAAACTCATAAAGGGGGAGGGGCAAGAGGACTTGCTCTAAACAACTGCTCATGCACTATATGCATTCAACACACCAAAACAGTTTCAAAAGGAATGTACTCACGTATCTCCAAAGAAAAACTGAGATGTTCCCAATCTGTGTGACAGCAGATTTAGGCACTCCCTGGCATCTCTGTATATCTAATAAGGATGAAATTACAACTTAAAGGTAGAAAAGATGCTCTAGAAGTCCTTCTAAGCAGGCATCTAGGATGTTCATCTCTGCTGTCTCTCTTGTCCCTCCTCTGGAGGGACCTTGCTATTGAAAGTCATCCCAACCATACCTGAGCTTCCACTTCTTGGAGGTGGTAGAGGGGAGGCTGTCCTCTAGTCAGGAGAATTCTATTCAGTGCTCCCTTAGACATCCTTCCAGGCAGGATCAAACTCAAGGGAAAAGGAATTCGTGAAGCAAACCATGGCTTTGTCACAGTAAAGTAATTGTCACTCTCAACCCAGAATGTGTGAAGCTACAAAACAAAACAAACAACACAAGCATGTTCTTTTATTAAAAGAAAGGTCATTTAATCAATGTGAAAGTTTTGGATAAATATCTTCGTATAGAATGGCTTCCTAAAACTTTACAAATAAATGACTCAAGGATAAAACAAGATTTTAAACATATGGATTTGTTGATTGCTATATCGCAGGCACCCCGAACAAGGCCTGGCACATATGTGCTCAATACATATTTGTTGATTCTGTGAATCATTGTTAGCTAAATTCTATACATGGAGGAACAAACTCTGTCTTCCCCAAGTTATTTTTATTTCCCAAATGACATGATCTTTCACGGTGTTTCATGTCTTAGCTGAATGTCCAATAGAATCTACTTTCAGAGTAACAAGAGAGAATCAAAATACGTAAATTTCCTCCTTTAAGCCTTTTTCATTACGTTCCTTCTAAATAGACTACAGTATACTTGTAGGTCACTACATTGATGTAATATTCACCAATGCTCACCACTGCAGGAAGAAGCTTCTCTTCAAGCAGAGCAATGTAAGCCAGTGTATCTGCCCCCTGTTTTGCTGAGAGTTCATAATCAGCATTATATTTCTATGAAAAAATATAAAACCAAAAAAACTTCAGAAGGCATAGGCATCCCCAAAACAGTGAAGCTACATAAAGATTCCTATTCTTCCTCAAAAATGGCAATTATCATATTAAAAGGCATAATGACAAATACAAATTCAGTGACAAATGCTGCTTAATACAAATACAGTTCTTAGCACATCACGCACACAATAAAGTCAATAAATATTAGCTATGAATTTTTGTTAATTGCTATTCTGTGATTGTGACCTAGTTTAGTGCATGGCATGTTGTACAAACAGTAAATAGAAGTTATTATCTTTAACAATAAGGAAGAAGTTCTAATTGGTTGCATTTTTCTCCATGAAAAAAAGAGAGAAATCCTTCCAATTTAGAGCAATTCTAAATTTTGTTGACATAAGATTTACTTTTTCAAGAAAAGCACTGGCAAAACGAATTACATTTGTATTTATAAAAGTCTTTACATGTTTAAACATTTTGTATACATTATATAAATCTTTAGATGCTCACACATTTTAGATACATTACTTCATGGAACATTTAACTTTAACTCTCCAGTTAAGTGCTTTTTAAAAATAAAATAGTTGCTAGTTGGTGGGATCTCAGATGCCATATGCAGCAGAAGCTGTGTGGCAGCTTTGTGACTAAATTGATAATACTTTCAATAAGTGTAATAATAAAAAGGGCTTCGTTGAATCTGCCTGTGTCTAAACTTCAATAAAATCCAAAAAGTACATGCAAATATAAATTGAGTATACCTCACTACATGATATTCAAATCACAATACAACTCATGGTTCAGAGCAGTAATTCTCAAGTCTCTTTTTATATCAAATCCGAGGTATCTCCAATTGTCTACTGAGTTGATAAAAAAAGAATTTAAAAAAATTCCCCAAACCTTACAATGTATTTTTTTAAAGTAACATGTAGGGAACAATCTACTTCTTCAAAAGGAACCACCCACCTGTTTTCTTAAAAAGTTTAGTATTTTCGCAGGCTGAGAAACAATGTTGTCTTCAGTTGTCAAAACTGGTACATCTCCTACAATCAAAAACAATTCACATACAAGGAAACATTTCTATTTCCTCTGAAGAGACTGCAGTCCCCTAAAAACCATACCAATTGTACATTGGGAGGGGGCAAAATGAGCAAGGTCATCTTAAGTTTTTTGCAATTTCACAAAGCAGTTGTAGAGAACAGTGCCTTATTTCCATTGATCTGACTTGTACTTTACAGTATTACTCAGAATGACCAAACCGTAAGCAACACACAGCCAAGGTTTTGGTAAGAAGAAACTAAAACCCCAAGGTCCATGACTATATGCTTCATAGCTTTAAATTTGGATATGGGGGTTGGGGAGGGGAGTGGGGAGTCTCTTAAAGCAGAAAAGTGTGTTTACACTGTACCTCTTGAACCTCTCCAGGTGTTATCTATGACATTGACTTTCAAAGGTGCACCAGAAAATTTGGCGTAAGCCTGAAACAAAGTCGGTAATAAAACATTTAGACTGAGTACGTAGTGCAAATCTGCAGAGCAGCTTTAATTCACAGCCCCGTCGCCCTAAGGCAGAAACTCCTGACACCCGGCCTGCGTCCCTCTCCAGAGGTCCAGCCCCAGGATGCGCGCGCCAGCTACCCAGCTACCGGGGACTTTGTTCCCCCAAAGGTCCGGGAGATGCAGAGCGGGGCGCGTGCGCGCCCTGCTTTGGTTTTAAATTCCACCGCCCAGAAAGCTTTGGAAGGGTGAGAGGGCTCGCAGCCAAGCGGAGAAGCCTTGACTCTCCCGCCAGGCCTCGGCGGGGTCACAAGCCACGCTTTTGACTCCATGGGAGGAAACCCAACGCGGTGCAGCGAGAAGCGCCCCGACCGGTCTCGGCCCTGCAGCGCCGCAGGAAACCGCGGAGAGCGGCGACCAGGCCCAGCCAGCCTCGCGTTCTGGCCCCGCCCATCTTTCCTGCGCCCTGGTCCGCGAGGCGGCCTCACCATCACCACCAGGGACTCGCTGTGCACCGATGGGAGCCCCCAGCCACCTCCCCAGCAACTGAGCTCCAAGGGGGCCGCCATTTTGCCGGGGCCGACCTTTGCTACCCCGGAAGTACTTAGGCGCTCAATTTCCGGCACGGTGAAACACGGGGCGGGGAAAAGGGAGGGAAGGGTACTTTTAGGCTGTGAAGAGATGCGTCAGCAGGTGGAGGGGTTAAAAGCTCTCTTGGCATCAGATAGGCGTGATGGCTAGGAGTCTTGGTCCTTAAGTTAGATACTCCTGTTAGCTTAAAATATTTCTAGGAGCCTCAAGTGCCCCAACACCTTTGACCATTACTACCTTGGGCCTCAAGCCATTTGTAAAATAGGCAAGATTGTTGTGTTTAAAATTATGACACAGGGAGAAATAACCTGACATGCAATAGGCACTCAATAGTTGTTCAACTCTTTCCTCCATATATTTGACTTTTGCCTCTTTCCACTCTGAATTATGTCACCCTCCTGTTCACTTGGTCTGCTCTCCTTAAAAGTAACTTGTGAATTCTTGAAACTTGTGGATTCTGCCTTTTTTCAGTCTGGAATATCTCCTTTTCCCTGCCACTGCTTCCTCAAAAGTGAGCTTAGATGTCACCTTCTCTGGGATGATTTTACAAAGTTAGGATCTTCTAGATTCCTGCAAACCCTTGTATGTACTTAAATTGTAGCTTCTATTCCATACAAATTTTTTGTCTTTCACTATCCTTGAAAACTCCTTGTAGACAGGAAAGGATTGGCTTCATAGATGTGAGACCTGTCAATCACCCAAGGCCCCATGCTTAAAAGGGCCCACCATTGTCTTAATGTTCTGCTACCATTGTCTTGAACTTTTTAACTTTTGAACAAGGACCTATAGCCAGTTGAGTCTGTGGGCATGAACTAAATGCTTTTTTGAACATCAAATTGACAGTTTCTTAGAGAAACTGTCAAAGAGGAAAAATGAGTTCTCAGAATGCAATGATTCTAACATAGAGTCTGGGAGTTATAACTTAGGTTCTGGGTCCTCTAGAAGGCACACAGTCTTTCTGGGATACCCTCCCAGTCACTTCTCTCAGTTCTTTCCTTTCCTCTGCTTCATTGAGGTAGTTGGGCCCTTTAAACAACTGAAAGCTAAAAAAAAAACAAAAAAACTGCAATTTTCATAAAATTATAATTCAACGAATAATTGCTAGGTACTCCCTAGGGTTAGATGGTTTATGTGGCTTATGTGAGCATCTAAATCTTTCATCTTTCAAAGGCAACAGTTCTCAGAAATGAGAAAGATAAAGTATGCCAATGGTGGGAATCCATTAATCATAATTTATAAATGGGAAATACTTGACATATGTACCTTTGAAACTAAGTATCAAATATTTATTGAGCAGTTACTGTATCCAAGACACTGTAAAACTCTGGGAGAATACAGAGATAAATAAGACATGAACTGTATCCTCAGGAATTTATAGTGCACACAGGAAACATAAAACTAAGTGTAACAAGTCAGATTATCATGAGTAAAGTCAGAGATGTAAGTAAAATACTATGGAAGCACAAACCAGAAATGATGCATTCTCATGTGTGATTAGTGGAGGCTGTCTCTTCAGTCTTCAGTGTAAAGAAAGTAATTCAACTTTCAGATTCAAGAAATAGGACCTCCCCATTTTGAGGTTAAAAGCCTAAGCCATAAAGCTCAGAGTCCATATACTGCAATCAGGCATTTAAAATAATCCTACACAGAGAATATGAATTCCCTGAGTCTTATTTGCAAGGTGGAGGGGGCGTGGGTAATGGACGCACATTTTTTTGTGGACACATAATTTCTCAGTTCAGCCTTCTCCCTTATTTCTGATGTTACATATGACAATTTCATTTGCATGAAAGAGAAATTAAATCTATCCTCTTAGCATTGAATTGAGACAGAACAGCACACTATTGCATCTGATTTGAAAATCCTTACACACAGGTTTATCTGTGTCTATTTAATAGGAATCTTTTATTGTTGCAATTCCTCCGGAGAGTCTATATTTGCTAGATTGAATTTTAAAACCCTAGTGCAGCTGATTGCACAACCAGGCTGAATGTTGTTCCAGAGAACCACACAGAAAGCTGAAACCTTCAGGAATTATGCCTGGTATGGATAGTTGGCCCCCTGTGCCTTTTTCTGGCTGCTAAATAAAGTGTGTTGTTCAGAGTTCATCAAAATCATAATTTCATATTCCTACCAGGAAGCATATTATCTGCAAAACATTCACATATGTGTGGGATAACTTGAATCACAGCTTTATAATGAATATTCCAGACAATGTTTTCCCTTAAAAAGAAATATTATTTTTCAAAAGAAGGACATTAAAAATGGCCTCATCTAGTGACTGTCATGTGAACTCAGGGGACCTGACCTTGGCATCCATTCATATGCCTCATATGTTTTCTAACTTGAAAGCCATGGTGCAAGTTCTATTAGGATCCTTTTGTTTGGGTGGTTGGGAATCTGTGAAATGGCCCTGTCAGCAAAGATGAAAGTTTTGTGACAAGTGATCATACAGTATGGTCCTTTGTGGAAAAGTTAAACCAAAAAGACTTAAATATCCCTTTCCACTCTGAACATATGTAATTTAGTTCCATGTTCAGATATAAAATCCTTGGGTAGGAAAAGCAAACACTGAGTAGAAGTCAGGAGAGTTGGTTTCTTACTTTGCCTCTAATCAGCGATAAGACCTTAAGCTAATCATTTTACCTTTATTCCTCAACTCATTAACATATAAAGTCAATGTTCTTTTAGCTCTGAGATACTGTCATGCTATGTGTAATAATCATTTAATAATAGTTAACATTTGTGGAACAATTTCTACATGCCTGAAACTGTTTTCTATATCTGACATAACTCATTTGATCTTCATAATAACTCCATAAGGTAGGTACTGTTATGTTCCCCTGTTTTCAAGGAGAGAAATTAAGGCACAGAGATGCTCATTAACCTTCCCAAGTTCACCTAGCCAGTAAGTGATAGAAGCAGGATTTGACCCCAGGTAGTCTGGACTCATACTCTTTTTTTTAAATATATTTTTTAATGTTTTATTTATTTCTGAGAGAGAGAGAGAGAGAGAGAGAGAATGAGCAGGGGAGGGTCAGAGAGGGAGGGAGACACAGAATCCGAAACAGGCTCCAGGCTCTGAGCTAACTGTCAGCACAGAGCCCAACATGGAGCTCGAACCCATGAACTGTGATAGCATGACCTGAGCCAAAGTCGGACGCTTAACCGACTGAGCCACCCAGGCGCTCCTGGACTCATACTCTTAACCACTATGTCATACTACTGGTAGCTTTCTAAGTAGTCCATTAAGAATTGTAGTTTCAAAATAAACCTATCAATGCCATGATAGTACTATCATTACCTGTTTTAATAATATTTTTGTGTTAATCCATTAAATGAGTTCCTTAAGCAATTTCTGTATGCCCAGCACATTGCTGGGCTATCAGGGAATAATAACTTATGTTCACGCTTTCATAGGGATAGTTGATTTAAAAAAAAAAAAAGGCCTACATGTTCAAGGTAAGTAAAAGTAATTAGGGGTGCCACTTTATCAAGCAGGTCACAAGTCTAATGTGGTTTTAAACAAAGGACTTTAATATAATCCACTGCATGGCAAAGGCATAGGGGAAGAAGTAGGAGTTTAGCTGACCTTGCAGAAAGGATGCGTACATTGGATTTAGATTGGCAAAGGGAAGGAATTCCACATGGGCTATGCTACATCAGTCAAGACGCAGTGTTGAGAATAACTATGGCAAAGAATCTTAAGTAAATGGATGCTGCATTGTATAATAAGGCTGATCAGGAAGAATGTTGATTGACTAACTTAAGAATTAGAATTGGTGGGGAGGGGGGATGGGCATGGAGGAGGGCACTTGTGGGGATGAGCACTGGGTGTTATGTGGAAACTAATTTGACAATAAACTATTTGTAAAAAAAAAAATTAGAATTGATGATGTTGGAAGGCATGGACATATGTAGTTTGGGGAAAGTAAAAAAGAAGAGTAAAAGTCTCAGTACAATATTAACAGATGCATGTAGTCATGCATGGAAAGTGGAATGCTATTGTCTCATGGACACCATAGGAGGAAGGGTTTTATGAACCTATCAATTGTATTAATTGAAAGAAAATGTGGCAAATGAAGTGAGGAAATGAGGCTGAATATTAATAGGAGAAAATCAACTGGCACCCTTGTGCTGAGCATTTTTCATTGAATAGGTTGTTAGAAATCAAATTGCAAGGGATTGTTGAAGAAAATGATCTTAGGAACAGGGGCAAGAAAAAGATCATGAGGCATGTGACAGATGAAGAAAAGAAGGAGCAGATGACTCAAGGTAAATGTTTTGAAGGAGATGACAAGGTGAATCTACATACATATGAAGACAAAATTGGCTACTAGTCAGCCTGAAGATGCCAGCGAGAAAAATGCCTTGTATCCTATTCTTAGAGTTCACAGAATTTCCCTAAGAGTTGAGAGCCTGAGATCAGGAGTATGAGCAGTGGAGCTGGCACTGAAAATGAGAGAGGCTTTCTCTCTGACACCAAAGGAAGTTTCAAGGAGAGCATTGGATGCTGAGTTAGCCCAAGCCAGTTACCTCAAAGAGCCTGAGAGAGAGACTGGGGCTTCAGAAAGAAGGAGAACAATTTAGAGAATGTACTGGTGAGTTAGTAAAAAGTGAATGGCAGCATTGCTGACAGTGGCAAAGGTCAAATTTAAATTAATATGAAGGGGATAAATCAAGTGAGAGTCCTGGACAGGCTAATAATTAGGTGCCCTTTCAATTAGTCTTTAAATATTTATTCAAATTTTTAAAAAATTGTAACGATGTTAGCTAGAGAACATTACAGGATCCATTTAAATTTTACCATTTCCATTTGTTAGAAGACCTCCATGGAAACCTAGGTTCTAGTACTACTTAAACTTTGGTCTTGAGGATTGCAGAGAAAGAGGGAGGGGATCCTAGGAATTGAATGAAGATGGAACTTATGGATTCAGTGGGCCTCAGCCATCTTTATGTCTTGCTAAGTTAGCACAGTT